ACCGCGCGTGGGTTAATCCTCTAATCAAATTTTCTAGAAATTGAGTCACCCAAGTCAACTCGAAATGAGTCAATCGAGTCAACTTGCACTGAATCAACTCGCACCGAGATGAGTCAACCCGAACTGATCTAAACTATTGACTTTGACTATGACCAACGTTATTTTGAATTTAACCAAAATTTCAATTTTTTTAAAAAAAATTCAATTTTTTTTAAAAAAAAATCATATTTTATGATTTTCAATGTTTTGAGTTCGAATCTGAAATACGTTTCACAAAATTCGACATCGGTAAGTTATTTTTCAACGTTTAATCTTTAAATTCGATCTGTTTCACCCAATTAAGTTATGTTTCTGACGTAATTTCCTTTGCCATGTACCCCAGTTATCATGGGATGTTGAATTCAAGTTTAAGGGCTATTGAATGGAGTTTAATTGGTCGATCGATGTAACACGAAAATCGAAGAAATACATTACTACTATGTGTATACTTTACGAAACACACTGATATTGGATATTGCATGAATGAATATTATTGGACAACTTTGTATAGTTAATCATTGTTGGACTCGAACTGAATTCGGTAAAAGTTAGTAAACTATATAACACTTGGAGGACTCGAATAAGAAATTAGAAGACCGAGAAAAAATAAATTCAAGCTCAGTGATCAATCAAAAAATCAATTGACCACAAGATCCTTAAACTCTTATTACTTAAGTTAAAAGTTAAATGTCGGAAATACTTGATACTTGGATAGAAAATTTCAAAAATACCTTTAAAAGGTAAAAAGGAATTTGCATTGACCTAAATAGTAGAATTGACTTAAGAATTTATTCTTGACTTGATAGAACTTTAGGGTCTGTTTGTTTGGCTGTAATTGGTTTTTCGGAAAATGAATTACTGGAATTTGAACTACTGGAATTTGAACTACTGAAAAATGAATTACTGGAATTTGAATTCTGGAAAATGAATTATATTTCTGGAAAACGTTTTCCGGAAAATATTTTCCGTAAAATGACTTACATTTTTCTGAAAAACATCTGGAAAACATTTTATGATGTTTGGAAGATGTTATTTAAACCTTTTTTTCCACTAATTGAAGAGTTTTTTTTAAATTAATTATTACAAATATTAAATACAATAAATAATATTATTTTTCATAAAACTTATTTATTATTAAAAATAATTTATTTATTATTAAATAGTATTTTTATAATTTTATTAATAAAAAATATTAATTTTGTATATTTTAGTGAAACAAAAATATTATAAATTATATTAATTATTTATTAAAGTAATAGTGTTATATTCTATTTTAAAAATATTAATTAGTATATTTTAAATATCTTTATTAAAATATTATTTAAATATATAAATAATATTATTCATTATTAAATATATAAAAATTTATATTATATATTATTAAAATAAAAATATAATATCTTATATTATTATAATATAATTGATTATTTTATATAATATTAAAAATATAATATTATATTATTATAAATATTAATAAATAAATAAATAATATTTTGATGAAAATGATATTAAAATATTTTATATTAATATTAAATTCATAAAATAAAATTATTTTGAGTATTTATTATTTGAAGTGAAAAGTTTGGAAAATGACTTACAGAAAATGAATCCGTAAGTCATTTTCGAGAAAACACAAAGGAAATTTTGTTACTAGGAAAATGAATTACGTTCCGGAAAACCAATTACGTGAAACAAACACTGGAAAATATTTTCCGGAAAACGAATTACGTGAAACAAACACGGGAAAACATTTTTCGGAAAATGAATTACGTGAAACAAACACGAGAATTCGGGGAAAACCAATTTTGTAATTCCAATTACGGCAAACAAACATACCTTAGATTCACTTCTTAAATTCCCGATTTGTTTAGAGAAACCTTGATAATCAATTTTTACCTCCAAGATGAAAAAACATACTTAGAATTTCTGACTCATGAGCAAATGCCCAGAGACTAAATCATTGAAAGTATCATTTATGTCTGAACGGTTCAAAATGACTGAATTGTATGAAATACAACCCTAAGGTATGAAACACGACCTAAGCACGTCGATCATTCTTGATGTTGTCGTAATACAAAAATAAGATTAATACCACCAGAATACTTGTTTAGTTCCTTATGATCAGTTCAACTAGTGCATTCAGCATTAAAAAGTAAAGTATCTTGATCCGAATGATTGACAAGTATCGTAGTATTGGGATCTGTTTAGTTTGATTTGACTCGAAATCTTGAGAATTTGATATAAATTTGACATACTGCGAATAATCATTTTACCCTTATTGGGATAATTTTACCAAGAACTCTCGTGGTAGTAACACGAAAAAATGCCCTTTATGGCCTAAGTAATGGAAACACTCTTATTATATCTAAATATTTAGTAATTATAATGTAAGGATCTTGAATACCTTTCTGATGCACTCAAATCCTAAATGGTCTTAAAGTATCAAATTCTAAATGTCTAATTAGATCCGGTAGTAACCGAACCCTTTTAATAAAGATCTCATTCTTGAAATCTGATCAATTTATCTAAGTTACATGTTTTCTATTTTTGATAACTACCAAGTGCCTCCAAAAAATGTCTGGATCCTCTAGTGTGTTCCTTATACACATAAATGTTTTCTGTGATTTTAAAAGTCTGACTCTGATATTTGAAATAAAAACATGAATTCTGATCTCTATTTTTTTATTATGATTTCAGATATCTGGATTTTGATCTCTGGTTTTCGATACAAGATACATCTGGCCTTTGATTTTGATTTTACTAAAATTGTTTTACTGGGGTACTTTTGGGATGTGATATGGAGTTATGTAAGGTCATCCCCGACCAGGCGGGTAAATCTTTTTGGACCTAAGGCGACCCTTGGGTGGGTTCCTAGACCCAATAGGCCTATTGGTAAGACATTATGGACCCTAAGACAATTCCCTAAGGTGACTCCTTTGCTTTGTACTTAAGGTAAGTCCTTATGGACGTGAGGGAACTCCTCTCAGGTGGGTCCTATGCTTTGACTAGGATAAGTCCTTATGAACCCAAGGTGTTCCCTTAGGTTGGCTCCTACGTCAAATGGGCCTAGGGTAAATCTTTATGGATACGGTTCTGGGGAACTACATATGGAGTGTTTGGCCAGAGGGTATTACTGTGATTTTAAAAATGTTTTACTGAAATAAGCTACTACTATTTTTAAACTATGATTACATTTATTCTAGTTTCGTGGGAACACACTAGACACCTTCATTCCAATCTCTTGAATTTGTCTCTCTGAACGATTCCTTTAGACTGTAGGTTTCCCATCTATTACCTGAAGAATTAGTTAATAAACATCAACTCATCTTATGACCTGTATATGCTTGGATAACTGAAGATATTTTATGCATCATCTTATATCTATTTTTCCTTTAGAATCATCTGATAGTATTGTATTACTGAGCTTTCTCAAATCTCACTCTGTTACGTACCATTTTAGGTTAAAGAATCAATCATGTGCAACTATCGACATCAGTAATGGGAGTACCTTCGGCATTGCTTGTGGAGTACGGTACAGAGGTAAGTAGGGGGCATGTAGGTCACATTTGATTTATATCAATGTCTGAAACTCGCTTTAATATTTATGTTTACTAACCTCTGTTTTTAATATATGAATGATTTTTGAAGTTGTATTATTATTTATATATTGATAATATTTTATGATTTTAAAATTTTATTGGCTAAAGTTTTATTTTTCTAGTTTTTCAGAATGGGTCGCTCCGGTAACCTTAATGTGACACCTCAGATCAGGTCAGCCGTATCGGTCTGAAGGTGTTACATTAGTGTTTGTGAAAACATGTTCGTTTAGAATAAAAGGAAAAACATAGTGACAGAAAAAGGGATTTTTTTGTTATAATAGGGAAAATGATAAAACTACACAACTAGTGCTTAAACTTCTTACGATTAATAGTTTAAACTCTAAATTTCATCATATATTCAATTTAGTATGTACTTTCACTAATATTCAAAATAAAAAAAAAATAAATGAGCTTATAAACGAGATTATTCGTGAACATAAACGAGTCGAACACACATTTTTTTCCATGTTCGTTCGTTTATTAAATTGACATAAAATTTTTGTTCATACTCGTTTATTTAGTCTAATAAACAAACATTATATGAATGGTTCACTGAACGCTCTGTTCATTTACACTCCTAATTTTATTCGATTTAATGGTTTTTGACATGATACGGTTAGGTCAATTTTTATTTTAAAATTTTTGATTCAATTCAAGTTAGATTTGATTTTCTGATGAAAAAATACGATCAAACCCGACCCAACATAATATTATAATTATCATTTATATATTTAGGAGTCATTACAACAATACCCATTTCTATTTTACTTTTTTAATTAGGTCCCTATTTTATCTAATAAAAATTTCTTTTATATATATATATATATCGGATTAGATGTATGCACAAATTTAACTTAAAAAATAGGTCAAATTTTAGATATAAGTGAAAAACTCATCTGAAATTAGACACGAATGAAAAGAATTAATTGAGAAAAAAATTCAATCCAACCTAACCAATTACTGTCCCTAATTACTATACTTGATTTGTGGTTGTTGATGATGTTGATATAGTATTATGATGGAGTGCGTTGGCAAAGTGTGGGAAAGAGAGTGTGAAACGGGGCATTTACGTTCAACAGAAAGAAAAAAAAAAACAATCCAAACTGGTTTAAACTCTCTCTATCTCTTGTTCTAAATTTACATAGTTTCAGTTACATCTCTCCTCCCAAAGCATGGCTATAAATAAATATATGCATACATTATTAACTCCATGCGTTCAAAATTAATCTCTTGTTCAGCTGCCCTTACTATATTCCATTGGGGTCCTTCCATTTTTGACTAAAAACTGACCCCACAACTTTCTCCCTATTTTTGTGTCATTTATTCTTTGTTATATATTGCATCCCACTTCCCTCTCCTTTGCTTCCTCTCTTATCTTTCTCTCCTTTGTGTTTTCTTCATTTCTTTTCTCTCCCTTTGTGTTGGGGAAGATGGAAGCTCAAGAGGAAGTTCCATTGGGGTCTCAAGAAGGCAATATCATTAAAGGGAAGAGAACCAAGCGTTTTAGGCCTCAATCTCCGATCCCTTTCGCCGCCATTGCTCCGAGCGGTTCCATGTTCAACGGAGGAGACGATGTACAAATGGAGAACAACAAGGACAACTATGGTGAATATCTTTCACTTTCTTCTTTCGGAGATGAAAACCAAGAGAGCACCACGGAGGAAGAAGAGGACATGGCGAATTGCTTGATCCTCTTGGCTCAAGGCCAATCCAGAGAGCCCCCCAAGTTATTACAACATCAATACCATCGTGTTCATCATCAACAACAACAAGATTCTGCGGTGGTTTACAACAAATTCAACAGTCGGAGGTTCATGGAAGCAGCCTCGAACGGGACCGGTAAGGCCGGACACTACGTCTATGAGTGCAAGACGTGTAACCGGACGTTCCCCTCGTTCCAAGCCCTCGGCGGTCATCGTGCTAGTCATAAGAAGCCCAAGGTGGCCGCGGTGGTCGATGATAAGATACGACAATTCACAACGACGACGAATATAGGGTTACCGGATGAAGAAGAAGGGCAACTATTCATGAAGACTAACAACATTTCATCTCTCTCCCTTCAATTGAGCAACACCAACAACAACTATAACAATAACAATAGAGGTTTGTATGGAAGCAACAGCAACAACAAGGCTAATAAGGTTCATGAATGCTCGATTTGCGGGTCGGAGTTTACATCGGGACAAGCCTTGGGAGGGCACATGAGAAGACACAGAGGGTCCATAGGTGCTAATATTACACCTGCTAACACTGCCCTGTCGTTGAAAGTGCCAACCCCAATGGAACAACCTCAGCAACCTAAGAAACCGAAGAATGTTCTGTCTCTAGACTTGGATCTCAATCTTCCAGCTCCCGACGAAGATAATCGGGAACCAAAATTCCCCTTTGCTTCGAAACAGCAACAACAACAGCAACAATCATCTCTTGTCTTCTCTGCCCCCACTTTGGTGGATTGTCATTACTAGAAACAAGGTTAAAAAATTTCCAACTACACAATTTATTATCATCCAATGGTTAATTGGGTGTTTTTGATTCTTTTTTATACTTTTATTTATTCAAACATTTTACAAGATTCTTTCGATTCTTTGATGAAAAAACAATGAATAATGTGTTATATGTACAAAGTCATGATGGGTATTTTTCTTCTTCTTTTTTTCCGTCTCCTTTGATTTCTTGGATTTTGTTTTCGAGTCGAAATGTGTTAAACACTTTGAGAAAGAAAGAGAGAATTTAGGCTTCAATTTGTCACCGCCACAGCCCAAGAATTGTGGCTTAATTTTCATTTTACAACAATGCCCTCCCTTTCTCTCACTCTCATGTTGGATGGTGGTGACCAAAATAGAATAATATCTCAAATGAATCCCTCAAATATAATAATATCATCATGCTTCCATTACACGTTCTTACCTCATTATTTTTGTTCTTTTCTTTGCTTCTTCCACTTCTTTTCTCTTTAGTATCTAGTACACTCTATGATAACCAATCATTCATCACAAAACTTAATTAAATCGATATAAATTCGAATTTTAATATCTGTAACTCTTTCTTATTTTTCATTTATTACTACATTGATCTTAATTAATCTAAGCAAGTACTTTAGTTTTAAAATTTATTAAGTCAGTTATATATAATAGATCTTTTTTCATAAAATATCAAAATGTCTTAACTCATGTGCACACATGTTGCTCTATTTTCCTTCAGTAGGTTACTTATTCGAACTAATTGATGAAATCATAAAAATAAAAAGTAAAATTATGTTAAATTAAAGCAAAACGACTAAATTTTAAATTTGAATATAATAAAAGAATCAAAAAAAGAGTTTGACCTAATTAGAAAAACCCAATAAAATTTGTGGTACGAGGGAGCAGAAAGTTGGCTATAATACCCAAATAATTAGGTTTAATTATATATATATAAGCGTAATTAGCTGTTGTTAAGTTAGAGTTTGGTGTGTGTCTACCTCACAAAGGGGATGCAATAATCTGTGAGGCTGCTATATGATTAACTGTGCTAATTTTAGGAGTTGAGTCGTCCATTGTTTTAGCTAAATAGAAAGATAGAGCATGTGCATATTTGTTTTACCTATTGACAATGCACACACCCTACATACACGGCTGCTCAAATCATCTAATTTTTAATCTAACAAAGATATAAAAAGCATTTAAAATATATGGGATACCAAAGTTTAGTTTGTCAAATTTCAAAATTGATATATAAAGACATAATGAAAAAAAATTAACGGTGTGGTGTAACTACAAAATAGTATTTATTTAAATTTTTCTTGGTCAATTGATAATATGCACATACACCCTACAAACACATAGGCTTGAATTTGAATCCTCTATTGCACATACACCCTACAACACACATGGGCTTGAATTTGAATCCTCTATGGAGAGTAATATTCTCTTTCATCAGTGAGACCACTTAATAAATTCAAAAATTATCAACCCTAAGAGATAAGTTGATTCAAAATTATTAGAGGCACGGGAAACATTTGAAGTTAAAAGAAGTTCAAGAAATTGGATTTAATTTGTTTAATTTTAAAACCCTTAGGAATGCAATTAAATATAAAATGTTTTTGGAGCCCAAGACCCTCCCATCATCCACATAAGATCCCTAGCTGATGAAGTGATAATTAAAACTTCTCTTTCTTGGATGATTGGTGTATATATTAAAATTATCACTGTCCTTGCACATGCATATTTTTTGTTCATATTAAGGGCAGCATCATGCTAATTAGTATGGAAGAAGAAATCAATTATTAACTTACTACATAGCCCCCAACTTGTGTCCACTATTGGATACCAAAGAGAGTCAATAGTTTATTGAGTATATATTTAGCATCAACACTTGCACTAATTAGGTTAATGACCAAAAAATAATATTCGAAATTCAAATAATAATATGAAATGACTTGAATTTAAACAGTCCAATCAATAAATTTTAGTGATCAAAACTTCAAATAACCTAAATTTAATTTAAACTTCTAAAAGTTTTATAATTCAGATTGATACGATCCAGATTTACTTGATCTAAAATTAACTTGTTCATTCAATTAATAGGTGTAGGTATAAACGTAAAAGATAGAAAAAAATAATATTTATATATAGGTTATCGGCATTAACTAGAGAGATAGAGAGTAGTTTGAGATGTGTGTGCATCCGTAACAACTACAATGAAAACTTTTATAGTGAGATCCAAATAAACTTTCATTCTTAAATTGAAATAAATTATTTTAAATCATCATGGATATGAATTAGGATTAGGATTCATCTATACTTAGCGTATAAACGAATTTTGCCTATACAAATTAAACTCGAACATTTTTTTTTCCGAATCGAAATCAACCAACCATGAATTAAAAGAAAAAGGGAAGAGAGTTTACTCAAAAGTTTAACGTTGTTTTCAAGTTAATTAGAATAGAAAGATACAAATTGGGTAAGCGTTGCATCCCAGTTGAAGCAAACGCATCAAATTCTTTTAAACGTTGCGCTTATAACCATAATCACATTTTCCACTAATTCAAGTCACTTTCTCATGAAAACTCCCCTTCCCCTCTCTCGTTATCATATTTTTGAAATTAACACAGGTATTACAATCACTTTTGCAATATTTCAAGAGAGTTTAGTTGAGTTTTGTAGTTTACAAGTTTAACTACTATACAATTCTTTCTTTTATTTATTTAGGTGATTACAAGATAACATATTTTCCAAAATCTAAGAGAGATTTTGACGATGAATGCTCAATATTCCTACAAATGTGGTGCTCGGATTCAGGATCTTTAAAGATAACAAATATAACTTTAACCACTGAAATCGCTTGATTTATGTAAAATAGTTGGTCTTAACATAAAGAAGAATCGGTACAATTTTAAACTTAAAATTAAAAGGATGAATGAAAACTAGAGAAAAATTATTTTAATTATTGAGAATATGCCTTAATTTTGTTTTGCTCTCCTAAGCTATAGTAAGTTGTGTTAAGTTATATTTTATTTAGATGATTACAATATAATGTACTTTCTAAAATCTCTTTTGCATATTACATTTAGCGCATAACAATGCTTTTAATTTTTTTAAATGTTAAGTTAATGTTATTATCGTTTTATAAAATAAAATATTAAAAAAGAACCACGTATGATCGTTTTCATGTTTCAACTAACACCACAGATCTCGAAATACTCTTATACAAATAATTATTGTGAAAATATTATTACTATAGCTTCAAAAATATAAATATGTTATTATTAAAAGATAAATAATCTTCTACCGCCCTTATCCAACTTCGCTAAACTAAATACTTATAGATTTGTCGTAAATAAATAGATTGAAGAAAAAAAGCTGGAATAGCTTAGTTGGTTAGGGTTTGTGCCTGTAAACAACAAGACCGCAGGTTCAAGTTCTATTTTTAGTGTTATTAACTTTTATCTCCATTTTTAGCAAGCAGCAGTGGCTAAGAAAATATTGACATTGGTATCTAGGTAAACTTGTTTAGGTCAAAACCGTTGGCCTATTAGCTCAACTGGTTAGAGCGTCGTGCTAATAACGCGATGGTCGCAGGTTCAAGACCTGCATGGGCCATTATTTATTTTTCCAATTTTTCCTCCATCCTATTTTTTGGTTAACTCTTGTTCTTGCATGTTGGTTTTGGCTCTGGGACTCTCCACAGAGGATCTACTTTGATTCTATTTCTGGGCGTATATTTGTGTAAATCCCTTTTAAAATGAATGAAAAGGGTTACTTTTCTTTGTATTGGGTTGGCAAGAAATTGAAGAGAAATGGGTTAAAAGCAATCCTTTGATTCCAGCCTTTTGGTTTTATTACGTATTTATTTTATTTAAATAAATAAATCAGGAATGTTCAAAATCTCTCCTGGCCAGCTGCAATCGGTAAAAGATACTATTAAAACAAGAAGCATGCATGTGCATGAAAAGTTTCCGGCTCGAATTCCACAGTAAGGGAAGTTAAGCGAGGCAGAACAAAATTTAGAATTAACTTCTTATAAGAAATAAAATCATGCTGAACAACAACAACTGTCTTGGATGACACTTTCACTTCTAATGTAAAAGCACAGAGGGTATATCCAAGCTTAAAGCTAAGCTTCTGCCATCCTGGTATATATTGTTTACAAAATGAATACCCATGCCTAGTGTTTACAGTTATCTACTGAATTACAAATTTACAATTTCCGATACTGTTCATCTGTTCACTGTCTCAAACTCCATAAACAATTGAAAAAACAAAAAGGATTGCTTTCAACCCCTTCTCTCTTCAATTTCTTGCAGACCCAATACACAGAAAACAACCCTTTTTCATTCGTTTTAAATGGAACTCAAAAACCATTTACATAGACACACACACAAAAAGAAAAAAACAAAGTAAATCCTGGGTGAGAATCCCAAAGCCAAAACGAACATGCAAGAACAAGAGTTAACCAAAAAAGAGGATGGGATTTGGAGGAGGAAAAATTAAAATGCAACATGGCCCATGAAGTCTCGAACGAAGGTCATTAGCACGACGCTCTAACCAGCTGAGCAAATAGGCCGACGTTTTGAAATGGACAACTTTTGTTATATATTAGCCAGGGTTTTAAATAGCGGACCGAAAATTTTATAGCGGCCGCAATTTCGCGGTAGCGTCGCCGTCCGAAATCGGTATTGATGATTTTAGCGGTGGGTAACGAATTCACATAAATAACGATCTATCACGCCCGCAATTTAACGGGTTGCGGTGGGAAGCGTCGATAACGGAACGCTATAAGCGTTATTTCACCGTTATTACAAAACAAAAACAAAAACAAAAACCAATCAAAAAGACCAGAAATTTCTACGGCTGAAAGAAACTAGATCTAGGTTTAGAAATTAGAAGAAAAAAATTGTGTGTTCTTCTCTTCCCACGACGACCTGAAATTTCTACTGTTGAAAGAGGAAGAAGAAAGTAAAAGGAAGAAAGGGGTTATACCCAAGGAAACGAAGTAGTACCAGGAGGAATCTTCGTGGTCATCTGATTGGATCTTGCAGGAAATGAAAGAAGGGGAGCTAGGAAGCTTAGTTCTAGGTTTGTGAGTGAATGTTA